GTGTATTTTCTGTAAATGAAAACAGAAAAGATTTACATTTATTATTTCATATACTTTACTCAAATATTCATCATCATCATACTTATTATTAGTAGTATTATTATTAGTAGTAGTAGTAGTAGTATTGTTATTATTATTATTATTTTACATTTTTTTTATTTTCACTATTTTTTTTAATCTTTAATTTTTTAATGCTTTTATTTTTTTCAACTTTTTTTTTTTTTTTAACACTTAACTTTATTGCTGTCACATAGGGCAGTGGTCCCCAACCCCCGGGCCCGCGGACCGGTACCGGTCCGTGGATCAAATGATACCGGGCCGCCCAAGGAACATTACATTATTTCCATTTTATTTACTGTGGTGTATTTCTCTCGGGTTTGTCCGACTTTCCAGGACGAGAGGTTAACCAGGAGCTGAGAGACGTCACCTGAAGCCGCACCAATACCGCGCTTGCGCAAAATATCGTGATATCGGGGCGGTTTTAGGTGACGTCTGGAGCTGAGCGGCTGCAAACGGCAGTGGCGTTGTAGCTTTGGTAAAGAGAAGGTGTGTATCGTTCTTCTCTCTGTTCACCGGTACTTTCTCATGTTTAACAGTGCTTGGTGTACGTGTATATTGTGTTTGCTCAAATGTAACCCACAAATTAGCAAAAATGAATACGAAAACAGACGTCGTTAGAAAGTTTACTTGGGAAAAAGAAAAGGCCCACTGAAGAGACAGAAGAAGGGCCTTCAACATCAAAGAAACATGTAACTTTTAACTGACAATACCATGAGTCCTACTTGAAATATGGATTTATCGGGACAGGTGATTCCAATCTAAAATATAAACAATCAACAGCGGGCCGCGATAAAATTATCAAACGTTGACCGGTCTGCGGCGATAAAAAGGTTGGGGAGCACTGACATAGGGGACTAAGAAATCCTCTATGTGATAGCCAATTCACATAACAGGTCCTCTTTATGGAGACATCAGGGATCTCTAAGACCCCTAATGTCACCTGGGGACCCCCAGAGAAGCTGAAGTAGAGATCTGCTTCGGCAGCTTCTCACCGTTGTCTGTAACCGGAGAGTGACACTGAATGCAGGAAGTGATGTAATATACATCACTTCCTGCATTCGGGGACAGGAGAAGAGATCAAAGGGAGATCGTGTACTGACCTCCATTTGATCCCAGCTGATCTCCGGACCAGCGGCGGTGACGGCGGTGTCAGTACGGGGGGCGGCCACACACCCGCAGCTACTACAAGCGATCGGGCGTCTCTAGATTGCTGGCTGTTTACATTTCTGACATTTTCGAGCGGGGAGAGGGAAAGAACGTCTTAAGACGTTCTTCCGTTTATTATTTGTATTAATATTTAAGTAAAGTATATATAATAATAGATAACTATTTTCTATTCTCATTTTCAGCCAGCAGGTGGAGCTATAGTCTCCTTTTTACATGTCTTCCATTCTTCTTTTCTTATTTGCTTTACCTACCTGTTGTTTACAGTGATCAATAGCTAAAGATGATATTTACACAGAAAAAGAAATCATGAGAGCAGTGACTCCTTGCCTACTCCCCCTGCTGTGTACAGATAACGCCATGATACTAAGGCTCAACTTTAGATTTTCCAAAGCTATGTAATATAGGGACCTAACCAAACTACCCTATCAATCTGCATCCAATCAGGCAGGCCCTTGCACTACATTGTTGTTGGTAGATCTAAAGTAGGATTGTACAATCAGATTGTAACGTGTGTAGGGAGCTTTAGTTTCACTCAGAGACAGGGTGCCGGAAAGCAAACAACATGTCGGTCTCTTCTGCAGGTGAGTCTTTGCAGAACCAGCCTTCTCCATTCCGGCTGTTGCTTCCTCTTTTCCTGCTACCTCGAAAGTCCTATTTGTTTCCACTTCCTGTGATATTGCGGGTGATTTCATTTTTTGGTCATTGTTGATGACTTGACTTGCCCCTATGAGTCCTTCGGTGCCAATTCCTGTAATGTTGCACCTGATTTCCATTTTTTTGAACCCTGTTGATCCCTTGGCTTGCCCCTGTGAGTCCTGTCTGCTGCCTGCCCTGACCTTTTGCCTGCTGGTATTGAGATTTCTAGTGGCTGCCTGCCCTGGCCTTTTGCTTGCTTGTATTGAGATTACTATTGGCTGCCTGTCCTGACCTTTTGCTTGCTTGTATTGAGATTACTATTGGCTGCCTGCCCTGACCTTTTGCCTGTTTGTATTGAGATTTCTATTGGCTGCCTGCCCTGACCTTTTGCTTGCTTGTATTGAGATTTCTATTGGCTGCCTGGTACCGTGTCTTGTTTTTGCTGGCTATCAGCTTTTGCCAGTCCATCTGTATCCGAGGGCTGCACCCATGGAGCCCTCCCACAGCAAAGTCCATCACTTCTTGTGATGCAGCAAGTCATATAGACTCCGCCTCATTTCCTGGTTGGAGGACATCTGGCATCATCTAGCTTTCCTCCCCAGTCTGACCGTCCCTGGCCCATCCCTAGTATAGGGAAGCACAGAGACCCATTGATGACATCATCGGGTCTAAAATAAGCTATGTAATGAAAACGGAAATGTTTTTTTTTAAAAAGCTTTACTTGCATATAGACGACGGAGGAGGAATGCAAAATATCAAAGTCAATGTGACCAAAACTCTCCCAGCTTTTGTGTTGTCACTGCGGATTGATCGGAGCCAGATCTGAATTATTTTTAGTAACACGGTCACCTGGTGCGGTGGAAGGACACGC